GGGGGGGGGGGGGGGGGGGGGGGGGGGGGGGGGGGGGGGGGGTGGGTGGTCGAAAGTTGCTTACCTGGCCTTGTCCTTCGAAAACGAGTGACAAGTTTGCGTACCAACATACGTGTGGTACAAAGGTCTGTACGGTGATATTTGCACGTGCTTGCCGAGGAAAATGCATCTGTACCTGAAGAGCGGAATCCTTGCCGTCCCAGGTGCTGTGCCAGTCGTGCGTGGCCTCGTGAAACTTCATGGCGGCGTCGCTGTCCTTGTTGTGCCACATTTTCCCTCCCTGCGAATGGATTCGGCGTCCCGAGTGGCTGAGATAATGAACTAAAAGCGGCGGTGCTTCAACATGTTACGTTCTACGACTGCGACTACAATGTACTAGAGACCGTGAAATTATTCATCAGCAAAGCGAACACAGAAAAGAGGGGATCGTCCTCGGTAGACGTTGGGGGGGATAGGACCTGTTCAAAGGTCACTTCCCCAATACCGCCCCCCTTTGTGAGACTACTTGTTTGCTGTGCAAATAATAGGCAACAAGTACCCCGCGAACAGAGGGGACACTCGCGCTAACAAAACGTACAACACACCCTGGTGGGAACCAAGAACAGCGTTGACTTGCAGCAGCGAGAATATCACTCCATTGCGTAAAAAGTGTGCATCTGTTCGGCATACAAGTCTTGCTCCTTCCTAATCAAAAAGAAGAGCAAAACGAAACCAATATCTTCTGCATCCCCCGGTTCTTTGTCTTACCCGATCCACGAAAGGCGACGCCTGAGGCAACCGGCAGCTTCGACAATGCCAAACAGAAGCTTTTTCTTGACAACACATCACAAAACAAACAACATGAAAAACCTGGGCTGTTCAGACATACGTAATAACGGGCAGAACAGTAATATTGATCCGGTCTGTTTTTTGGGCGCTTGTTGTGTCGTTCATTGAGAACAAGCCTGTGCTTCTTGTTTTTTCCGTTCTTGAGCGTTTTGTTGCTGTTCTTGCGGCAAAGACAGGGTTGCAACTCGGTCTCTTCGCAAGAACAGCAACGAAACGCCCAACAACAACCAAAGAAAACTCACAGGTTTTGTGCTCAACAAACGACACAAAAACAAGCTCCCAAAACAGACGACTCCCTGTTGCTCGCTCGCTTTTTCTCACCACTCCGTCGGGGAAGAATCCCGACACTCCGCCCACGGCTACGTTCATCACCACATAGAACTTCTGGTCGTACGGCGCGATGGGTTTCGCCCCCTTCCACGGGTTCTCGACCCCGGGGAACCGCTCTTCAAAGTGCCCTTTTTCCCAGAAACCGTCCTCTTCGGACTCGGCTCCGAAGTCTACCGTCAGCAAACGGTTCGAGTCGTCGTCGATGTACGTGTACTGGTTTTTGAAGGCAGGGGGAGAATTTGCGGATGGGTTTTGTGGCAAGGGGTATGGGTACAACAACTTGTGTGTTCGTGGGAAACGACGAGATGAGAGGTGGTGAGGGGTAGGGATAGCTTGTGGTGACCATTGAGGAGACTGCCTGTAGGAGAAAGTCATCTCACGCAAGGGTGAGTTGAACAACGGCGACATGTAAAGAAGACTCAGGCTTGAGGGTCAGCGGTGCCGGATGCGTGCTTGGTTGAGCTTCAACTACTGCTGTAGTGCGACGATCGATGCTGTCGCTGCCTGTTGTGTCTTCCTATCTCGTTTGGCGTCAAAGTTTTCTTATTTTCTCTCCCTCGCCCCTCCTCTCTCTCTCTCTTACGATCACGCCTCCCGTCCTTTGTCAGCCTTACGATCCTGCATTTCCCACTGCGTCCTAAAACGGCGCTGGATATTGTCTACCGTGCTTCGTAGGCACCTGCCGTCCTCTTTCCGCCTTATCCAAGTCCCGAACTTCCAGCACTCCTTTGCGGTGATTGATGACTACATCGTTCCGGTTTTATGCACCATATTTTCTTTGCTCCCATATACGGTACCCTTCAACGAAGTATTCCATCCAAACGCGTGCCGTGTGTGCCGTTGTCTGTGTACTCGGCGGACCGTTCCCATTGTCTTCTATCGTCCAAACAAGTCGCATCTAACCCGTGTAGCCACATGTCAGTGACGTGAAAGCTACACACAAACCAGAAGCCACAAGTCAGACTCGAAAAAAACACACACAAATATGAGGTCGGTACGGTTATCCGTTTCCAAGCCCTCGTCGTCTGGGGTCCCCTTCTCACCATCTCGTTCTCGTCCCAGTACAAGCCGAAGGTGTGGAAATCGTCGTTGAAGGTTCCTTCCGCCTCGTCCAGGGTGTAAACACCGTATGTCTCGTCCCACGAATCCATGCTATGGGTTCACGCGGTGGTGTCCGCGAGAGGGGGGGGCGAGAGAGGTCTTGGGTGGTGTGTTCAGACGTACGGGGGAAGGTTGGGAGTTGGAAATTTGGAGCGTGAGTGAGTCACAGCACGAGGAGAGCACTCCAAGTTTCACGTGCCCACACTGCAACCCAGCCACGGCATTACCGCAAAGGGTGGAAGGGGGAGGAACTTGGTAATACCGCGAGGGGTGGCTGAGTGACAAATTAACCTCACAGCAGCGCAACGCGTACATAGCCCTTCATGTGCCGAGATGAAGACGGTATACAGATTTGTAAGATGTTACTTATTGGGTTTGTTGAGGTTCGCTGGACTCTTCGAGTCAAACACACGTACTTCAGGTGTGAGATGTCGGTCTTGGGAAACGTCACTCTCCAGCTGACAGCCAGTCGTGGGTTGGTCCTGCTGACATGCCAATATGTTCAACTTGCAGGATGAGCTCGTATGAGCCCACTCCGGAGGCATCCCTTGCTCAAGTCTATCTAGATCCGAAAGGGCGGAAAATCTTGTTGTCATTGGCAGAGTTGCGCGCACACCTGTAGTGGGGCCCCCAGTGGAACGCGCTCGAAGCCGAGTTCACGCCTCCGACGCCGTCTACACCCGACGCGTAAGAAGCCGAGTTACCCCTCGACTCCTGGATGCGTTATATAGAGTGGGAGAAGAGAGGCGGAGAGAGAACGAGGAGCGATCGGGATGCGGTGGAGAAAAAACGAGCTGGGGGCGACGCGGTGGAGGAGAGGCCGCGGAACGGAGCGTCGAGAACAGAAGGATTACTCATGTATCTATTTACCTTCTTTGATTTTCCTCGCGTTTGGGTCATGCACAGACCTGATCGCGTAGTTGCGATGCAAGCACAACACACCATCAAGTACCGCACCACCGATTCGCGGGCCTCTCTTCGTAAGATTGGTGACGGTGGAATCGCTCTACACGGCTATGAACACCAGTACATGTCCCACCTTGCCTACTTGCGAAGTCAGAGGGGCTCACAAGGACAAATTCGTGCGGATACATACCAACGAGTGTCCTGCCGGCTTATGGGTGCCATTTTCCCCTGCAGCCATCCACAGAAGCGAGGCAAAAGGCAGGCCCGTTATTTCCACATAGCGAAGGACAAAAGATTGCTGCTTCGTGTATGTATTATGCTCTCGGTCAGTACGAAACGGTTTCGGTGCTCACAGCAGCTGTGTTTCCTTTTAAGGCCACGACTAAGCAATTTCGTTCACCATTTCGAGACGACACACGGCTTGTCGCGGTATTCCTGTTACTATCCGTGCCGGTCTCTACGCGTACCTCCATTCCTGCCCCGGTCTTTGCCACCGAGTCATGACCTTCCGTGGTCACAGGCAAATCACTCTCAAATGCATACAAACGGGACGGGGAACAGAAGGCCCATAGAAAACGATCTCTTTGAAGCTATACACGACGGCTGTACCAAGAGCACTAGAAAAAGTGATGTGACTCTATCTACGTGCGCGACCAACCAAACAAAAAATGCAAGACCGACAAGAGCTCATTCGGGGTTCTTGTCACCAATTATTGTAGTCCGAAACGCCTCCCGTCGCCGGAATTTCGTATTTCCCCGGACCCTTGAAGAAACTCTCAAGTGCAAGCGCTATTGCGAATCCGAATTCATCACACAGAGACGAAGGTTTGCTTCTTCCCACTGTCTACGCTTGCCATGATATCCATTCCCGCGGGGCGACACAGCCATAAACGTCGGCGTGTTTCGCTGGTGTCGACGACACGTACCATGACGTCGATTTCCCCGGAGGCCGGCCACTGCCCGTATACGTTTTGCTCGGGGAGAAGCCAGATCGCCGGCCAAAGCCTGATTTTTGTCAGTTCCGTGCGAAAACAAGCAACGCCGGGCAGAACAGAACAGCGTCGGCAGAAAAAACGTGCGAAGCAACAAAACAAAAGAACCGCCAGACAACGAAGTCAGAAGGGATGACATATCCGTACCAGTATCAAACAGGCGACAACGGGGCATCACTACGGTTTACGTACAAGAGCTAAAAAAAGAGTGCGAGCGGTATCGCTTCCCCTGGATATGGTGCACAGCGATCGCGTCACGTCCTTGCAACGCGAAGGAATGATGGAGAGTTTGACAACAACAATCCACCGGTCAGCCAGCAAACACAAAACAGCAGTGATTTCTTTCAATAACGGTGCTTCTTTGTTACGCCTTACAACCTAAACCGCTGAAAATCCACCACAACATCGACGATTTAGACTACAATCGCAGACGAAACTAACGGGACACGAGGATCGAATTCATATTTCGCCGAAAGGAGACATTTTTGTTTCTCTTGATGCGGAGCTCTTCGTGAAGGTGGACTGCGTCGATCTACTTGTTGAATAATCACAAAGAGTAAATAAACATTCTTCATTGCGTGACACTGTTGCAGGCTCCACGACAGAAGACTCTCTCTGAGCGTCTCTCGTACCAGTCTCCCTTGGGAAGCTTGGCCTTGACCTCCATGCGACCGTAGCGGAACGAAAACGTCCCCGCGGTCCTCACCTGAACACCAGAAGCCGACAAGAAAAAAAGGGAAAAAATAAACGTCAAACGTCAGCAGGGTGCGAGGTTACCAACTGAACCCCTTTTCCAAGCAGGCTGTACGTTTAGAACGGAACATGTCTTCAAAATAATTTATTTTCCCCTCCAACATCAACCCAGGTCTTGAGGTGCAGAGATTATTACCGGTTGGGCAACATACACAGCAGCCGGGTGATACCTTGACATTTTTATTGCCAGACAAAAACATCGAGTCATTTTCTTCCTTCCTCTGCGAGGTCCCAGCAGCCACCAAACAAGTTCACGTCGAGTGTCTCGTTGGCTTCACCGTGCAAAAGTCTCAAGACCAGCTCGAAATTTCTGAACCGCACGAATCCTCGAGCTTTGCTTTCAGCAACCATTCATTCGCTTACGTCCCCTTTGTCTTTCGATCCCTGGCTTCAACCTGTGACCATGCCCTGGACGTTCGGTTCTCTCCTTAGCACGGCAGACGGAGGAGAAGGATAGAGGCGGGGACGGTTTGCAACACCAACAACACAAGATAGGAAATCACCATCAACAGCAACACATCGTTCTCACCCTCGCTGACATCACTGGGTTGATGGCTATCCGGGCGGCCATGTTGCTCGCGCGAGAGCAGCCGTAGAACATGTTGCTGCGAATTGAATTGGAGGGAACGGGAGGGGGGGGGG